CCGCCGCACCGTGTCTTCTAAGCCGAGGGGGGGCTCTCCCTGATGCATACGAGACAGACTGCAGAGACAAGGCGCATATTGCAAACCGATACAATAGGTGTTTGGGATTGGCCAAGAGGACCGGCAGCCATTGTGCCAATGTGCCCCGCTACGGTAGGCAACAGCCTCCCTGCAGCTGTACCGCAGGCATCGAGTGCAGTCCCCCCCCCCTCCCACTGAAAAACCAATGGTGCTACAAAACACCCCTCATTGGAGCTTACTGCAGTAGTGCCTTTGTAAAGGCACTATAATTGCCTAAAATAGCACCTTTGGAGGCCAGTATCGCTCTTGTAAAGACACTGTTTCACTAACGCTGTAAAAAGTCATTTTATAGCACTTTTTCCAGTGCTCGGAGGTTAACTCCAAGTCCAAGCCTTCTCGGTGCCAACCGAATCCGCCTTAGCCGAGTTTAAAACGAGAAGAATGCTTCCAGTAATTTACACCTTTTCAGTAAGGCAGCATGGAGACGCAGAGCAAAATTGAACTCCGACAATGCAACAATGAAACAGCTGCCTCGCCGATGTCAAAGGGTGTTGAATTTTCAGAGTAGCCAATCTTCTAACAAGACGGGCTTGAAATCATTTCTAGTGTCGCGTTATTGGAGTGTTCGCACTTATAGTTGGGTGGTGTGGTGATCCCAAATGTGGCGTGCGTGCCTCGGTTCGTGACTGGCGTGGCGTGGACGGTGGCCATCGGACCTGCATGCGGGCCGGGCGTGCATCGGCCATTCATCAGGTCCGTTAGTAGCCTAGTGGACCTGCCCTGTACAACTACCCTTTGAGGCCGTGTGGAGCAGAGGCCAGCCCCGTCCGTTTAACCGTTAAAACAAAAAACAACACAAAAAAACAACAACAAGCAATTGGGCTTTTTTGATGTGGCGTTAAAAAATGTGGTTTCAATGGCCGATAAGTGCTAGGCTGCTCCGATTGCTCTTTAGCGTATTGGTATTGCTACAACGGCCGCTCTGCCGGGGGCTCCGCGGGGCCCTGCTGCTCGCAGTGCAGTGCGTTTGTGTGTGCGTTGCGTCGAATCGCGATATCATGCAACGCGTGCATAGCGAAACCAAATGCCTGCTGGGCTGTGCTGGGCGGCCGGCGCGGAGCCTTGCGCGCGGGGCACACGGCCGCGGCAACGACGGCGGGGCGGAGCTGGACTGCTGCCTCGACTGCTGCCGACGCGACGCGGCCAGATTGGAAGAGACGGCGGAATACCGCGACCAGAGGCGACTCCTCCTGCGCCTCGCCGCCGCGCGTCGTATTGCGGGTGTGGGGCGGCGGAAATGATACACATGATAGGCGAATAAATACGCAACTTGCAGGAGAACACTTTGCAAGTGTTGTAGGTTCTTAAACACGGCTATAGGGACATGAGCCCGCCTGGAGTTGAGCCCGAACAACTGTGGGCCGGCCCAAGCAGTGTCCGATATGAGCCAAGCTAGACGTAGCCAGGACCAAATCTGACGAGTCAGGCTCGGAAGTAGGCTCATATCAGGTATTGGTCCGGCCCACAGTGGTTCAGGCTCAAATCCAGGCGGGCTCATGTCCGTATAGCCCTTAAACACGTAATTTATCAGAGCACGCATTTAAATTGGGGGATGACCGGGGCTGTCATGTCCAGCGGAAGAGGCATATCGCTTTTGCGTTAAAATGTCAATCCAGCAGTCAGCAGCGCCGCCAGCCAGCGGGGGGCCCTGCCCCGCCTTCTGCCTCTGCGCCCTCCTTGGCTCGCGGGGCCGGCTGCGCCGCCGCCGCCGCCGCCGCTCTGTCGTGGGTTTCTGCAATCAATTTCAGACAACACAATTAGAGAAAGACAAATTGTCGGCTGGGCTGCCGCGGCCCGCTCGCTCGCTATGGCCGCGTCGCACGCACAATGTGTGAGGAAAGCGTTATTATTACCATTATGATAGACCCGCGCGCATGCCTATCGGTGCAAGACCGATGTATATTTTTTTTTCGGGTTGCGAAGCCCGGGTTCGAGTGATGCAATATTCGGCAGCCTGCAGCAGTGCATTAGAGCTGTCCGCCCTGGTGTATGAGACCGCTACACCGTCCCCTCCCTCTCTCTCTCCCCCCGTCCGTCCTGCCTTCCACCGCCCGCAGACGCCTGACGGGCGGTAGGTAGGCCACCACCTCGAACGACGTGACCGATCGTTGCCTACCCATCAGGCGCCTCGACCCTCAACCAAGCCCCATCCACAAACCTTCCGCAACTCCC